AGCGGCGGGGGAGGGGCAGGCGGGAGAGTCGGGGGAGGGAGAGGCGGGTCGTCGTCGTCCAGCTCGTTGGGGTCGAGCACGTATGGCCGGCCCTCCTCGGCCATCTTGTCGAGGTAGTCGAGGCACTCGGCCGAGCTGAGCTTGACGGTGATGCTGTTGCGCGGGTTGGAGCCGGGGTGCACCAGCTCGATGTGGCGCACGAGGTGGTCCTTGCGGTAGTAGGCCTTGCTGCAGACCTTGCAGAGGAACGGCTTGAAGCCGACGTGGCGCAGCGAGTGGCGCTGCAGGTTGGAGCGCTGCGTGAACTGCGCCTTGCAGATGGTACAGCGGAAGGCGCGATGCACGGCGAACGTGTGCTCGCAGAGGGCGCTCAGCGACTCGAACGACTCGCGGCATTGGTTGCAGATGAAGTTCTTCGCGTAGCGACGCGACATGCTGTTCATGGCCGCCGACGCAGTCGTCTCGTGATAGGCCGCCACCATCGCCGTCGCCGTCGCCGTCGCCGTCGCCGTCGCCGTCGCCTCTTCGCCTGTTGCTGGGTCGTCGGGCTTGTGACTCGTCTTCTCGTACTTGAGCCCGTCCGCGCCGGCCAGCGGACGCGCCGTCGTGCAAGTCGGCGTCGCCGTTGGCGTCGCCGTCGCCGTCGCCGTCGCCGTCGTGCAAGTCGGCGTCAAGGCGGCCATGACGAGTCCCAGGCCCGAGGGGGCTTGGGCCATGGAGGCCGCCTTGGGCAGAATGGACACGTTGCCCATGGCGAGGCGGAGACCGGCGGCGGCAGCAGTCTGGAGGGAGGCGAGGCAGTGGTGGGTGCCGGCGAAGAGGGGCGCGGAGGCGACGTTGACGTTGACGTTGGCGTGTGCGTGGGCGGAGGGCGAGGGCGAGGAGGCAGAGGAGGAGGAGGATGAGGATGAGGAGGAGGATGAGGAGGAGGAGGATGAGGAAGAGGTGGAGGAGGAGGGCGACGAGGCGGCGGTGGGGGAGGAGGAGGAGACGGGAGCGGCGACGAGGCGGGGCCGGATGGGTCGAGGCAGGGTGGGCGTCGTGACAAAGGGCATTGAGGCGGCGTGGGGCGGCGCGAGTTGGCTGTTGACGAGCAGATGGGCTGGCGAGGGGGCGTGCGCAAGGTGGGCGGCCGGCGGCGAGAGGTGCAGGGCCAGCGATGCCGATTGGCCGGAGCCGGGCCTGGTTGAGGCCAGCGAGGCGGCGAGGTGGCTGTGCAGGAAGGGGCTGACGACGACGGTCGCCGGGGCGCTGGTCAGCGCCGTCACGAGGGTGGGCGTGAAGTCATGGCGACCGGCTGCGCCGGCCAGCAGGTTCAGCCCCAGAGGCAGCATGGCCGCGGCGCTGGTGACCGACGTGGACAGGCCGGTCTGGCCGCCGCCGGCGGAGGCCGGAAACGCGGCCACCGAGACGAAGGTCGACGCGCCGGCGGGACTCGAACTCGGGCCCGCCGGCACCGGCACCGGCACCGGCAGCGGCAGCGGCGGCACCGGCGGCGGCTGCGGATTGGTCGGCGCCGCGCCCGCCGACGCCTGAGGGATCTTGCAAGGCCGGCAGATCTTGCGCTTGCGGCGCGAGACGCCGGCCACTTCGGCGCCGCGCGCCTCCGCCTCGCCGTCGCCTTCCGCCTCGCCGTCGCCGTCGCAGCCCGTCGCCTCGACGCGCGCCCTCTTCGTCGCCGCCTCGCCGCCGTCGCTCACCTCCACACGCACCTCCACCTCCACCGACGTTGTCTTCAACGTCGACGCCAACGTCGACGACGGCGTCGAGGTCGGCGGCGTAGCCGCGAGGGGCGGCGTCTGCCGGACTGCGTCGGCACTGCGCGCCGGAGGCGACGGCGAGGGGGAGGGCGACGGCGACGGCGACGGCGACGGCGAGGCAGAGCCGCAGGAGGGACGGTGGCGTTTGTAGGCGCGGTTGACGAGCAGACAACGCCGAGGGCCGCCGTCGGCTTGATAGACGACCAGCGCCTGCAACTTGAGCTGGCGCGAGTAGCGCGGCATTATCTGCTTGACGAGAAGACAGGCCAACTCGTCCTCCTGTTCCGTGTGCAGTTTCACCGAGATGCCTTCTCCCCAGCCGCGCCCCTCTTTCACATCTCCTTTCGCCTCTTCTTCTTCATTTTCCTCTTCTTCTTCATCGTCCTCTTCTTCTTCTTCTTCTTCTTCTTCTTCTTCTTCTTCTTCTTCTTCTTCTTCCTCTTCCTCCTCCTCCGCCTCGTCCTCGTCGTCGTCCCCTTGTCCCGACGAGAGGCTGCCGCCGCGGGACGACGACGACGAATCGCTGTCGCGACTGCGCGACGGCGCCTGACCGGAGCGCCGGTTTTGCAGCGCCTCCTTGCCCTTCTCCGTCATGAGGATTGTGGAACCGAGCGAGCAGAGCACCACGCTTTTGCCGTGCATAATCCTGAAAAATGAGAGGCAACAGCCGAGGCTAGAGTCGACAAATCACACTCACTTTTCGCGTCTGTCTGTACGCCTGACATTGTGCGTGCGTGTGTGCGTGCGTGTGTGCGTGCGTGCGTGCGTGCGTGCGTGTGCGAGTAGGTAGGCGTGAGTGTGTTTGTGCGTGTGCCAGCGATGGCGCGTATGCAAACTCGGCAGTCGTGATGGCGTGGAAGAGGGCGAAATAACCCAGCCAGTCCAACCACTGCGGACCAGCCAATGGACGAAGCGCAGACTGCACTCTTACGCCGCTCTACGCCAGGCTCGGCGGGCTCATCGGCCGGTTAGTGAGCCCGGATCGATGCGAACCGGATCGATTCAATGGCCCCGCAGGCGACAAGCAACGAGCAGCCAATCAGAAGCGACTGCCATTACCCCATCGGCCCTCGAGGCATGCATGAGCAAGCCCAGCCCCCCTTCAGCCATTGGCCAACTCGGCGACAGGTGCACGGACCGCCCGCTTGTCCTCTGGCCCGATGATGACGACGACGACGACGCCGCCGCCGCCGCCGCCGCCGCCGCCGTCCGTTGCCAACACGACGGACCGAAGATCGCCGGCGGTCTCGTCTGTGGATTACCAGTCTCCGAGGCGGACGCCGACATACAGACTGACAGACAGACAGATAGAGATGCCGGTCCGCCCAGACAGACTGTCACGCACCTTAAAGGCACAACAGACCCCGCCTCATCCTGACGACCGGTCCAAGGGTTACCCGAGCCGATCAACAGCACAACAGCACAACAGCACAGCCGCCCTAGAAACCGAGGAGACACAATCCAAACAAAAGTGTGGGCGAGTGCGACCGCCAGAAGGAGAAATAAGGCAAATCAAATAGACATGGAGATCTACACAAACGAGCACACAAGCAGACAAACATACATACATACACGTACAGACACAGACAAGCAGATACATATACAAACATACGCATACACACACACACACACACACAGACTCAGAGTAAGGAAATACAGATTGACAGACAAGCAGACGGAAAGAGA